CCTTCATCCCAAGTGAAGTACTCCAAGTCCACATCTGGTCATTGTGAATTCGAAGGTTCTTCACCAATGTGAAAGGGATGCACACTGCACACCACCTGCTGTCATTCGAAGGAAGAAGTCATGCTCCCCAAAAGGAAACGCTCCACCGTGCACAGTAGCTTGGCCAGCTAAAGAAAGTCATCGACAGTACACTGGCAGTCCAGTGTATCACTTCAATCTATAAAGGGGGGTTGAGGCTCACGCCTCAACCTCAGGTCGTTGCGTGACGTGATCTTGAAGTGATGCCTTCCTCAGGTCGGCTGTCCACTTGCCACCCTGCGGAACCGCGGGTTGCGGCCATGGCTTTAGGGAAAAAATCGACCTGGGGCCCCTCATTGGAGCGTCCACCGAAGAGAGCTTGCTGCTCCGTTTCGCACAAAAAGACATGCCAAGAAACATACAGAATCACACCGCAGGTGAGCAAACCTGCTAGAAACCACTCTGACTGTCGCGGGTCAAAAGGACACCCAAAGTTAGCCTTATCTGCTGTTTTTTTTGGTGCTCACCTCTCATCCAACCCCAACAAGGGGTGCGGCACACACCCCATGCAACATCTTGCTTCAAACATATGTGTGCGCGTCACACTGGGCGTCGCGCCGTAGCTGCTGGCTTGCAAATCAGAATTGTCCACCAAATACCAGGAAACCTGGTGGTGCAGTTTGTGCATGGAGACTGGGCAAGCAAAGTGGTGGTGTTCTTTCCAAGGAAGTGGCTGGAAGAACCTTCTGCAGTCAGGACAAACAGCCTGAACTGCACTCACAAACCGCTTGCGTGACCCAACATTGACAAGATCATGTTTCTTTTCAGTATATAATTGAAGCGTGTGACCTCCAACCGAGTGGCCTCGGCTTTATATCGAACCATGTGGGGCCACTTCTCAGGGAACGAAAGGTCCTTGGACTGAACGTGGACTGAACGTGGACGTCGGTCGCGTCGTCTTGGAGGTTCACGAAAGCCCTTCGTCAAGGACGTGGTCTACCACACCTGGTCTACCACGAGCCATCTTCCCAAGCTTTCGCGGAACACGAGCGAGTTCAGCGAGTTCTTTCGAAGCTGGGGGCCAAATTCCTTGGATTCGGTCTTGGTCACCTCTGAGAGTAGTTGCTGAACATGACTTTCCACCTCTGAGCGTTGAGCTCATCGGTCGAACGGTACCAATTCGCCAGGTATCGGTAGCTCAAAGCGAACCCAACAAATTCTATTGACCTATCTCGAGTTGCACCGGCTACATCCTGCAGGCGCTTGGGCTTCGGATTGGCAAAATAGCATGATCGAGTTGGCTTCTGACTGTTGTGAAGCCATCCATCATTCTGCTGATGTCCACTTTGGACGAGTCAAGGGTTGTATCACTTAAGGTTTATCAGAACATCCTTCTCCGAACCTTTGTGCCTGGCCGGGCCAATGTTAGTAAAGCAACATGTTGGGTACACCATGCTACGGGTTGTTGGGTACACCATGGTTGCTGGCTCGCCGAAATGCAATAGCTTCAGATTAGATGATCGTATACAACCAAAACCATGCAAAACCAAAACCATGCAAAACCCTCCAAAACCTGGCGATCCATTTGGCGATCCATAGTGCTTCCGGCCGTGTTCTTTCATACTCTTGTCAAAGCACGACGTGTCAGCGGCGCACCATTTCCGCACCGCGCGAACGCGAAAACGTCAGTGGCTCGAGGATCCTAAACGTGGGGCCGAAAGGGCAGTGTGGTCAACATGGAAGCGAATGCCTGCACGATTTTCTCACTGGTCTTTTTCTTTTTGGCCACACTGTCCTCCAACCTCGCCAAAACGGTGGCGTTCTCAGGATGCTCGACCAAGACAGCCATCGGACTTTCGAGCCATGCCCTGAACATGTACATGAGCTTTTTGTCCACCTTGGTCAGGCCGTCGGCGAACTCATAGTTCTTGCACAATGAAAGGAAATTGCGATGGACCTGGCCTTCCAGTTGGTAGGTGGCCCTCACGATAGGTGCCTAGGCCAACCGGGAACCCAACAAAAGTTACAAAAGAACCATGGAAACAAAACATGGGCCAACAGGGTTTTAGTCTATTTGGGTTTAGTGTGCCACGATTCAATTTGACGAGTGCGCAAGGTTTTTTTTCGAAACTCACCGGAAAGTTTGCATCAGTCTTTGCTGCGACGCAGTTTGAAGGTGACAACTGCATCAGTTTGCTCCCAAATGGAAAAGCAATCGATTTGAGCAGACCATGGTTCTTCGGTAATTTTTGCATTTTTGATCACAAAGATCAGCTGTTCATGAGCAACAACGGACTTATCAAGCACACGGTGCACAAAAAAGTTGTAGACCCAAACCAGTAGAGCACCGATTCGGGAATCATCGCTCTCACTCACTTCTTCGCAATCGATCAAATCACCATTGCCAAACTGAATTTGGCATTCATAGCCATTTGGCGGCTGATGGTTTCACAAGTCACATACGAAGGTTCATGTTCACCGAGTGACCCATTAACGAAGGTGCAACTCTCCCGGAATCATGGGGTTCCATCGCACCCACCCCCGAGTTCCCACAAAGCTTGACGCAAAAACTGTCGAATATGCTGGAAACATTCATGGGTTTCTGATACAGTGGCGCTTCAACCTGTGCTTTGTTTCAAATAAATAATGCTGGCACTTGGAACACAGCTCATGCGATGTTCTTTTAACCGGAGTCCGACGCTTTGCTTACAAGTCGAAAATGGCCCAGGTGCAAGCGTCCAGCATCACGATGCTGCGACCAGGCCAGGAAAATCTGTGTCTATTCGATCTCCTGCCAGGCAGGTAAGGTTCCATATCTGTGATTAAGTACTTCCAACACAGTGCATTGAATGTGTGATCAAACCTCTGATCATTCTATCGTTGATTATGTTAAGATTATGTTATATAAGTTCCAAGTCTGAGTCAGATTCCAGACCCCTCCGTGCGCCTCCACAACGCTATCTAGAGCCATTGCCTCTTCCTCCTCTCCCTCACATCCCTCACCATCAATTGCCGTTGGCTCCACTGCCGCGGGCTCCATTGCCGCGCTCACCACCGCGGTCTTATCCTTTGTCTCCGCTGCAGCTTCGCCCTTGTCAGGTGGTGGATCCTCGCGGGCCTTGAGCTTGGCTTCAGCCGACATGGACTCCTGGGAAGGGGCGATGCACGTCAATAGATGCAGGTGGTGATTGACGGAACCCCCAGAAAGAAATCAATGAGTCTGTTTTGCAGTGATGTGCATCGGAAATCAATTGATGTCATTCACCACAAAGAGCTGAATCAAAGGATTCTGAATCGTTGATATCATGTTGATATATGTCCATCAACTGATGCCCAAACATGTTTAAAAAAAATGAGTGGTGTGTTCAGTGCCAATTGAACTTTGGCGCAAGCTCCCATCAAGGCACCTGGAGAGCTTTCGCCGCTGACACGTCACCTTTGGTTCGAACCAGCTCATCTCGAACTGCAGCCTTGATTTGCAGCAGATGAGATGATGATCAAGACATCCATGGCAAACCGCAAACCATCACTGTCAACGATTTGTTGAAAGACCTGCACGGTTAACAAGTTGATGGGTGAAAGGCCAAGAAACGGCAATCTGTTCCAAGTCATCTTCGGAGATTTTAGCATCGGGCTTCACCTTCAGTGGCGCACGACTCCTCATATTGGAGTGAAAGACTCAACATGCACATACATCACAGTTTCAAGGTTCTGTGCATCACAAGCCAAGTGCAAACCAGACACCCTAATGACTTCCTTCCCGAAGAGTTTGATGCAGTAAACACCGTTTGGATAGCGAGATTTGCTAGTACTGATATGGTCTGGATCCTTTGGTCTACCCGCCGGCCGCTTCATGGGCGCTCCCGCCATCGAACCGGAGGCTGCAGCTGGCCGTTTCATCACTGGCTTTTCCGGTTCATCGACATTCTCTTTGGGTTTGGGTTCAACAGCCACTTTTGGGGCTACACCCTTGGCCTTCGTTTTGGCCTTTGGCTTTGGACTGCTTTTTGTTTTGGCTTTGCCAACCGGTTTCGACTCACCAGTTTTGGGTGGAGGTGTTTGCTTAGGATCATCATCGCTAAGCGCATCCACCGCACCCAACACCATGGCAATGGTCCTCTGGAGACCTCTAAATACACGGCTTGAAAACTTCAAGCACAGCATAATGTAAGAACATTCATACAGAATGTGTTCAGACTGTATTCAGACTTGTTCAAACGTGAGCAATCGCTAGACATGCAATTCGTGTAACATGTCACAACGACCCGGCCAGCAGGAGTTTGCACGGGGAGCTCGATTTGATCGCCAGTGCGTGGCACCCCAGGCATTCTTGTGTAGCCCCAGCTGTTCGATGAGATCATTGAATGACACAATGACACATTGGGGACGAAGGAAAAGGTATTCAATCAGAGTGATATTGGGTGACAGCCATGGACACACAAAACCCATATGCCAGCTGGTTGCCACCGCCCAAAGAATCTACTGGACACAAATCCAAAGAAGCTATTGGAGCAAGACTGCCGATTTGGCAGGAATGCTTGCCACTCCCAACCAATAAAATTTTGGCTTGAGCGGTTGAAGAATTGCTGGAACGCCATCACTCACACGGACCTTCAGGGTCCAAAATCATGGTTCCCAGTCCTATGAAGCCACTCTTGCAATCAAAACATGTAGTAAGTTGTTTGGTCAAGATGTGCCTCCCACAGCACTTGGCAATTGGGGGACTTCGGAAGCTTGTCGAGGTTGGTGAAGCATCCGCCGAATTGGCTGTACCGCACATTCAACAAATCACCATCCATAGGCTTCGGCTTAAAGCAGTTGACTTTGCCCTTTGGTGTGATGTTGAAGCGAAATTGCCTCTGGACTGGCCCTGAACCTGTCTCCTGTCGGTGGGTTTCAAGTTTCAACATGTTAGAAACAACACTTGGTTGATTTGCAATGTTGACATGTCATTGAAATTCCATCGTATTGGTCGAATAATGTCAAACAACACCACAATGATCCTTGACCATTGGTTCCAAATCGTGATCCACGATGGTAACTTCAGTAACACCACGGGTGTTGGTGACGTTGCAAAGAACGTCTGCCACGGTCATAACCGTTTTCTCCACAGCACCACCAGCGCCGGTCACCAAGACCACCACGTCAAGGTCCGATGTGATGAGCCATGGGACCTGGTCGACGACGGTGCTGGCATCTCCTACCAGGAAGCGGGGTTGCGAGCGCAGGGACAGCGATTGAAGGTCACTTAAAGCACATGTGGGCCGAGCGAATCTAGCGACAATGGTTGGTTACTTTCAATCACCCCGTCAAATCCTGTTGTCAACTCATTGAATGAGCCAACATTGAACCCAAAAAGCTCACGGGCTGAGATCGACTCATTCTCACCGGTCTCGTTGATCCAGAAGCTCTCATCGTTGCGATCCTTGCCCACGTGCATTTGCGAGTTCTGCAAAGCAGCTTTGCAATGCAACCTGAGAAGCAATCATGGTAGATGCTTATTTGGTGGGGAGTTGGAAAATGAAGCACAAAAGGTTCACAGGAGAAAATTGATCTTAAACTAAAGAACGTTCGGCCAGTCGTGAACTCTTCCATGGGCTTGGGGCTCACGTCAACCCTTTTGTCAAAGCTGGGGACTGCGCAGCCTTCATAGTCAGGGGTTGCCACTGTCCGGGCTGGGGCAGGTGTGGGAACGGTAGACCCGGTAGGAGATGGGGCAGGCTCGGGACCAGGAAGCTCCCCAGCAGAACCTTTCAAAGCCGCTGCGACGTTCCGGTCTTTAGCAAGCTCCTCCTCCACAGCTTTGAGTTGGGCGGCATGGCTGGCTAGGTACTTGTTCTTGATCATGTCCGGAATCCTAAGCAGAAGCTGATGCAACCCAAGGGAAAAGGGAAAAATATGCACCGACCCCGGTTTAGCATGATGGAGAAACACTTTCTTCAAAGTTCATTGGGCGCTAATGAAGTCGAGTATCTTGCAGGCCCCATTTGCAATTGTAAGTGTCTGCAGGCTTGGCGAGGCCTCTTCAAACTTGGCGCGGGGTCGCCTCTTGGGTCCTGCCTCCCCTGACTCATCCCACCACTGTGTCATGAGCATCCCAGCTATGGTTGAACTGTTCTTGGTCATGACCTTTGCATCGTCCTCCAGAAACAACCCCATGTAGTGGAATGATGGTCCCGGGTTTCCATCAACCAGCACTGACAGCTGCTTCTTGCAGCAGGCAATGGACCATTCCGAAAACCTAGGCCGGTTGTGGGAGCTGGGTGAAGAGCAGGTGTTTTTTGTATGGGCGTATATGTTTTTATGTTTCAAACGATGTCATAGCTTTTCAGTGTTGATAATAATAATATATAACAATTTCAACAAGTCGATCAAGGAACCTGTTCGGCAAACAGTCTACGATCAGGACTGGTTGGGAATCCTGCAGCGACAAACCTTCCAAGAGCTTGTTCACCACTTCACCAGTAGCATCGACACCCCGCTGCTGCACCTTACAGAAGCACCGCCATTCAAGCTATCGGTTTATTTCGGTAGAGGACGCACCACCTAGCACAACAAAAGTACGCATTGCACCCTTAGCCTAGGAACACGCCAGTGTGGCGCTAGAGGCTTGTCTTCTTCTGGGTTCTGCAACTCCGAAACTCTCGATCTTTGTATGTCCTTTATTGTTCCGAGAACGCACTTCGCCCTTGCGAATTCCCGGTGCGCACCAGAAGTGAGAGCAAGGCCTTAGATTGCCACACATAGAACTTCGCTTGCGTCCGTTGCAGGTCGAAAAGAAGTTGCATAATGTTTCACCCAGTAGCATTGCTGACTGGTCTTCCGCCGGTCGTTGCCATGAACATTGTCGCTGAAATTGAGGGACACTTCATTCACGTCGAACCCCCTTAGGTCACAGAAAAAGACACGAGCGCACAGACACACAGAAAACAAGAGCGCGCACACACACACACACACGCACAAGCACGCACATGAGAATGTGATGCCATCAAGCGTCGCCACGGCCTTGTCCTCCAAGATCCTTCTGTGTGCCAAAATCGCTGTGTGAGAGCAGCTGGAGTGAGGTTGTGGCATCAACACAAATGCCATGGTTCCAGCGTTTCCTCCGCACACAGCCTGGGCCAGCGTGAAAGCCTCGTCCACCGACAATGCGCCTGAGCAAAACACCGGAGAGGGATACAAACACCATTTTGTTTCTTGTTGATATCAGTGCAGTCAATGACAATGATGGTCAGCCTGAGCTGGCCAGTGAATGAGAACGCGCTCATGATTTTGACACCCGAAACTTAAGCGCAAACCATTTAGCTGAGAAGCGCCGATTTTCCCAGCGCAGCTTGCTTCGACACGATCTCACCCTGCGACAGCATCAGGTTCTTGAAGGCGCCAAAGGTGTGGCGACGGGCCATGTAGTCTGCAACCGCCTTCTTACCATTCTCATAGCGACTGGCAAGGTACTGCAGATCGAGCCAACCCTGACAACATGACAAACTGGCTGACAAACTACGGATTTCTCGGTTGATCAACTCTTTAAAACGAACTTGAAAGAAGAAGCGCCTGCTGGTTCGCGAACAGTTTGAATTTGTCCGCCCAACCCCGCAACGCGTTGATGTCACTCTGGATGGTCAGCTCTGTTTGAGACCATGTCGTTTGTAGCAATGCGGCCTCCAGCCTCATGGAAACATGTTGAAAGTACACCCTACATCAAAGCATAATCATAACACATTGTCATGTATCACATACTAACACAGATTGGATTGTTTTAGCAAGACTGTGTGCATTTGCAACTCTGTGTTGGTTTGATGCATGTTTTTGGAGCGGTTCTTAAGGGTCCAGGGTGAAATCTTTTTGGATTGATTCGACGAGCGGCTCGGCAGCCTTCTTCACGCTCTCATCATCGACCTGCACCACGTTGGAGGCAGCAAAGGGCAATGGGGAGACAGGATTGGACCAAGAAGTCTGTCAAGTTAGTGTGGCACAGGTTGTGTTTACCCAGCCTTCTTTTGGAACTTACCCAAGTGGTTTTTGAACAAGTCGATCTTGGACAAATCACATGGTGGAGCCGAAGTCTGAACAAGGTTCATCAAATCGGCATCTGCGTGACGATTCACAAACCTCGCATCGGTTTTTAGCAGCTCGGTCACTTCGATTCACTCGCGTTGTGTCTTCAACTGTTTCTTCCAGTTTCTTCCACTGAGAACGATGGTCATTCACTATCTAGACGAGAAGCGTTGACATGATCTCATCCTTCACTTCTGCCATGTACCCAGTGGGCACAGACGCCCCAAACATGGCCAAACACGCCAGGAAGATGCTGCAAGTACGCTGAAGCTGTTCCTGGGCAAGGTGCGGGAAAGCGACGTTGGAAGGGTCCAGGGTGAAATCTTCGCCCCCAAGCCTTCATTGGCAAATGAAAAAAGTTCATGATGTTTGAAAGGAGTCTAGCTGTTGCTGCGACCAGGGCTTTCGCATCTTTGGTGCCAGCGACTCAAAATCACTTCGCATGCGGCGCAGCATGAGGTCAATGGTCTCCTGGGTGTTCCCCAAATGCTTTTCCCAGGCACCCAGAGACCCAGCCACCCCACTGTAGTCCACATTGAAAATGCCAGCTGCAATCCCATCGTGTAGGATAAAGCGTGGTTGCCCATGAATCCTGACCACGAATTGATTTATATATTGGTATATATTGATATTGAATTGATATCTGATATTGTCGGACATCTCAAGATTGACATGTTTTCGAATGATTGAAATTGTTGGGCATCGCCTCACCAACTCCTTCAGCTGGTTTCGGGTCGAAGCGCTGACCGATTTCAGCAAGTTGGTGGCCGCACTGGCCTCGGTGCGACCAACCGAGTAGGCAGCCGCCACAGATGATGCCGAGTCCAAGGCCTGCCAACGCGAAAGGGATGGGGGGCGACCTGATGGTTCCCGCTGGTGCCATTTTAGCTTTTCTTCATGAGAATTCCCCACCTCAAGTCCCTCCACAGCGGATTCTGTAGTGCACCCATCGCGCATGAGAATCTCCATTTGATGGAGCAAATTGAAACAGTTTGGGCGCCTGCGAATGACGCTGGTGAGGGTCACGCCTGAAGCGATCCATCGGCAACGAATGACATACTCTTGGACGTTTGCATCTTCCGTTTAATGTTGACTAGGTGAAATGCTTAATGTTGACTAGTAGGTGTAACAATGAAGCACTTGGAGCACCTCGGTGGGTTGAGATTGTACTTGCCAGCTCTGCATTCTGCTTGGTGCAGTAGACGAGACTCAAAGACCTGGTTGCAAGGTTCCACGAAATGAATTTTATGATGAAGGGTTCTCGGTTGTTACAGTGCTAAGGTCAGTACTCGATCACTTCTTTAGGCATGACCTCGCTTTCAGGTTGTGAAGATTGATCCACACCACAGCTCACAGAATTCGGTGATTCCTTTTGACGTTCCCTCCCCGCCGGCCTCCATGAGTGCGGGCATCTCCATCGTTGCCATAAGGACCAAGAGTGCGCATACCGAGCGATTGAACCCCTTGACGGTGAAAACACTCTGAGGAGAAATCAGCTTCTCCCCCGAGGCTAAAGCTAGCTCAGCAGCAGATACCCACACCCTGCGGACAGAGAGCCACTTCTCATCCACCGTGCAAATCACTAGCTTCTCCGTTCCGGGCAAGTCCGGATTTGTCAAGAACCCGTTCAGGCCAATGAGTTGGACGAGGCATCTTTGGACATCCTGGTCGAAGACGGAGGCACGAACCACAGGGGAAAGGGAAGTCAGTATCGGGCTCGACAAATTTGCAGGAGCGGTTTGAAAAAACAAAAAACATACTCAATACAAAGCAATGTTCAACATCGCATGTCCCTCTCAGACCGTAGTCTGGATGGTGCGGCAACATCCAAGGCCGTAAATGGTGACCGCCAGGTGAATCGAACGAGTCCTCTGTTGCGTACGACCTCAAAAAAGCTGAAGCTGTCAAAATCTTGTCAACAACCACTGGAACGAGATTCCCTGGGTCAGTGACACACCCGGTACTGGTGGATATTTTTCCTCGATGAAGTTGTAGAACTCAATGCATTTCTCCTGGCTGCGCGCACAATTTGCGCAGTTTTCAGTGACGACCACTTGGCGGCTGTCCTTGGTGTCCAGCATCTTGTTCAAATAGAGGTCCAGGGCACCATGTTCCCGAAGCACTTCATCCCTCGGTTTTGATGCATTGGGTTTCGATATGTTTCGATCCACAATGAACAAACAACGAACCAAAGACTGAATTTCACATGTTCCAATTTAGCTGAAAGTCAACCATTCATTCAACAATTTCATATGAGGAAGTTTGGCCGAATCTGGTGGAATCGCAGGAAGGGACGGTGAAGCTTTCGCCTTTGCCTTCGCTTTGGGTTCCGGCATCGATGTCTTGCGTTTCGGCATCGAGGCAAAGACCACAATGGCAGTTACCTGGCTGGGACTCTCAGTGGGTTTGACTATGAACCACTAGACCTCTTGGGTTCCAACTTGGGACCTAGGATGCTCCAGAAAGTTTGAAGTGCGTCGAGCGGCCTGTAGTGAAGCATACCAATAATGGATTGTATTTTGAATAGCATTGGTTCCCTCCGGTGGATTATGCGCCGAGCCGGACCACCCAACAATGGTTTTTGTGCCGAGTAGCACATCCAACCACATGGTTTTGTGCCGAGTGAGACCTTCCCACCATGGGTTTTGTGCCGGGTGGCACCTCCCACCACCTGGTTTTGTGCCGAGTAGCACTGCGAATCTTCACAAACTGGTTGTTTCCTCTATCTTTTTGGTGGTGGCAAGTCCCACAAACATCAGTCAGCCAGGGAAATATGAGTACTATTCCCAAATCCCTCTTTTGTTCACAAAACTGACCCGAAGCTTGGCTAGGGTAGTTGTGCTTGTGGACACTGTCAGCAAGCACAAAAGCTTTGATACTGAACCCAAAAAGGGAAAATATTTTTCTTTCTACGCAACAAACTTTTCCCATTGGTAGAAGGGGATTTGTGATGGATGACAGTGCCCGCAAGCACGCAATAGGTGGTCTTTATCACCTTGCCTTTTGTGCATGGGACGCCTTCACAAAGGAACCAATCCAATCCCTCAAGGTTCACCAAGTTTCTGTTTAAGACATCACCAAGAGGTACAAAGAGTCTGGTGTCACGTGCACCCCTGGCCGCTGAAACTTTGCTTTCCCAACGTTGCTCGATCTTGAAGCATCAGTCTTGCTTCAGACCCTGGCTTTCCAAGCCTGGCTTCTGAGGATTTCAATGCATCGAATCGATCAACCAGAGCGCTTGCCAGGCACATTTGGACTGGTGATTGGTCAAGTTGTGTCCACATGTTTAAGTCAAGTATCGCGTTGTTCTATCACACATTGAAAGAGGAGTTGAACATGGCTGAACCAAGTAGCGTGCCAAGCAAAAACGACTACCCCCTGAAAAGGCTGGAGACATGGTGAGCATATCAAAAGGAGTTTGAAAGCTTAGCTTTGCAAAAGAGACATGATGATCAAAGCTCACCGGCATCTCTCATAGCCGACTCAACAATGGATACAGCCGAAGCCATATCTAATCCCCTGGCCCACAAACGGGCCGCAGCTCTGTACAGGGCTGCCCTAGTAGCAGCCCTCCTATATCCCCTTCGCTCGGCGGGCGGAGGCCTTTCGGCAATCAGTCTAAGTTCATTTGGAGCCTCGGTACCAAAGAAGAAACACGCCGGACACTCTCAACCACTTTCAACCCAAATTCGTTCGAGCAACAGCTTCCAAGTTCTGTCCTGATGCTGGAGGTCGCCACTCGATGCCGGGCCCAACCGAAGGCGCAGAGTTCGGAAAACACCTGGGCGAGTGTTTGAAAGAACCCCCTGGGCTGGATAAAGGTTCCAATAGCTGTAAACAAGTGTTCCAACTAAGAATCGAACCTGTGAACATCCAACAGCGGATACCGACCAGTGATATTGTTCGCAAGATCCTCGATGCACTCAGCTGCCTTCACCATGTCAAAGGGAGGTTGGCCTAGGCTATCAAGTAAGAAGGAACGAACCCGGTCCATGAACCCCAGTATTATGGTTTCTGGTGTATTTTAGTTCGGTTGTCTAGGGCTGCAACGCAGAATAGCAGCATGTTTTGTCAGGGTCTTGTTCTCCTCGCTGTCGATGTTCACAGCGTCATTGACAAAGACTGTCAGACAGTTGGTTAAAAGTAAAAACCGATGTGAACACCCATCCAAACTTTGCTTGGGAAGCAAGCATTTGGCACGTCCATTGACAGTCTTGCCAAGCCTGGAGGTGGCGGAGCATGCCCCAGCCGGAGAGCTTCAGAGGCGGGCAAATACAAGAACACTTTGGGCTGGTACGATTCATCGCTCATGAACCGCTTGGTCCTCCCAGAATTCATCCACCAGAATGAACTGTGACAACTTGTCTTATTTTACATCCCTTTACCCTTTGTCAGATTCTCCCATGAATAACCAGTTCAATCCTCAGGACCACGTCATTGGGCCCTTCCGCCGCATGTCGTCGTCGCCAAAATTTGGAAATTAGACACTTGCGATCCAGTCCTGCCACCGCTCGCCAAAAGCATGGTTTTAGATTTAGAAAGATTACACAAAAGATTTAGATTTAGAGTCAGATTCCAATTCAAATCACAAGTCTTGAGGGCTCCTGCGTCAGCCACGCGCTCCAAACGGAACACATGGGGCGCACCGGGGCCGCCTATGCCCTTGAGGTGCAGTCCATGGAGGTAGTGGGCAAAGTGCCCTTCCTTGCCGGCGGCAAAGGCGCGAAAGCGCATGGAGGTGTGACAGGAAGTGGGGGGAACTTCAAACTTCAAGGGTCAGAATCAAAGATGATGCCAATTCATTTGAAAGTCCAATCATGGAAGGTGTCGAACACAATGACCTCTCTGGTTGGTTCATTCACCCTCACACTTTTGTTATTCAACATTGTTTGCAAGGTGTTCTGGAAATCATTGATGGTGTGAAGTTCTCGGAAGCGGTCGAGGTAGGAGCTGGTGAGGCTGAAGTGAGCGTCAATGTCTTCATGAGAGTGACCGGTACTCAAGTAGCTGAACTCACAGCCACGGAGCCTGTGAAGTGCAATGAGAGAGGACATCATGCGTAAACCAGTCTGGTGCTTCAGCTCACGGGAGCAATTGTCAGCCTCCAAATGTAAAAATACATTGGCCCAATGTATGTAATGCAATGGTTTCGTCATCATGTATCCGATGAGTTCCATGGTTCTTGAACCTGATCCGGGAGTGTTTTGGGGGCTGAGTCCGACCAGGATTGCATGGCCGTGAGCAATGATTGTGGTCGCCTGTAAACGGGGTCGCACCCAGCTCGAGAACTCCTTGGCGTTGAGGGCATCCCCTTTGGGGTATGCATGTTTTGCCTGGTCCATACCGTCGCAAATCATGAAAATGTGGGTGACAGGGCCTCCTGATATCGCCTCAGTTCTGCTCTTTGCTCTGTGACTCCAATATACTTGGCGGTCACGGTATTGACGGGCCAGGTGGCCCCTGTACTCCCCGAGTTGCGCCAGTCTGGCGGGGCCACGGCCTAAGCGGCGAATGATGAGGCGGTGCCTCACGCAAATCGAACAACGTGCGTGGTGACTCTGCTGCCGGAGTCGGAGACGGTGCTGGAAGTCCTGCATCCAGACCTGGGCGTTGGTCGCCGATGAGACTAGTTTCAATGATTCGATACCTTTGAGAAATCATGTTGAGGCTCTGGCTGAGCAAAAGAGCTGGCGGGAAATTTTGTAATCGGGAAGCTCTGACCGGCAGAGACGCAAATAGTCTGCGAAGGTGCCAGGTGGAAGGTGGCGTACCTCATCACGAGACATGCTTGGATCGTCATATTTGAATGCGCCTTGCCTTGGGCGCTTGTTGGAATGCACTGTGTTTCCATCCGGAAGCCGCTCCGCAGCCTGTTCATAGAGGGCCCACAAGTAGTCCCAAACAGCCTGCCTCTTCGCTCTCTGGGGTTTAGGTTCCTTCGGCAAGAATCTGGCGTCCATCGGACACCTCACTAAGCCTTCATTGATTGCTTTGGAAATGGTTCGAAAGCGACTCTTCCCGATTCCAACCAACCGCATGAACCCTCGATTGCACACAGTGTGTCCCAGCAGGGTGAGGTGACGGGCTCCACGACACGCAACCTCATGCCCCTTCAACAGGTTGAAGACCTCAGCATTCCAGGGGTAGGGTTGTTGCAGGCATAGGTCAACGAACGAGTTCAAACTCACTATAAGGACAAGGCATAGTTGTCCTGCTCCAATTTCTCCAACCCGATCAACTCCTTTCGAACCTTGCGCAGCTGATCAAAAGTGTCACTGGTTCTAAATGGGGCGAAGCACTGGCACCGACAGCCACAAGGTCCTTCAACTCTGTGCCTCAAAGCACGCCCATCCACCACTGGCTGCACGATTGACGATTGTCACTTGCTTGCGCTTTGCAGGCCGACGTTTGGCGACCGCTTCGATCGACTGTGTGGGCCCCGGGTCTGGTGTAGCAACAACAGGTGGTGCATCTTCGTCATCAGTAAGTGCATTGACGTCAGAAAGGATGGAGGGCGTCATTGACAAGAAACATATGGTCCACCTGAATGTTGGAGGGAGGGAAAGGTTGGGCTTCAACGAGATGTGAAGTTATGTCAAACCTGCGACTTTCATCAACAAGAGTAGTCCTCCAAGGCCTTGAAGACGCCTGCGGTGTTGGCCAGGCCGCCGCCGAGAAGGCACCGCGAACAATGGGTCGGGCGCCAGTGGTGTACTACTCAAAAAACATATCCACATGTCTCTGGGATTGAATCATACAATCGATATCCATTTATATGATACCAAGACATGTAAAATTTAGCGTGGTATGAGTATGAGTTGAACCCAACTGCCCAAAACATTACGAAAAACACCTGAAGCCGCACGGTCAACGGACATGGTGCAATGGCCAGTGTATGAAAAACGTGCCAAGATGAGACGCTTTGAATTGAAACGCAAACAGGACGGGAGCGCGATCTGGCAGGCAGTGGTGGAGGCCGAGACCGTGGGCCCGGAGGCCCGGAGAGCCCAAAATCAACGCTCACTAGAGACCAAAATCAGCTCTCACTAGAGATTAAATGTCATTTGCTAGCAATCAAAGTCACATGCCGGCACAAGAAAGCATGAACATACTCATGAACATTGATCGAAACCTTGCTTTGTCCACCTGCGACGAATCCCTCGCATGTGGAACATCTGAATTGGTAGCAGTGGGCATGAATTTGGAGCCACAGCCCGGAACATATTTAGCCTTGGGCCCTTTCTTGTTGCCCCAAAAGCTGTAAAGCAAGGAAACCTACATCTGGCATGACAATGTTGCCGATGCAGGTCAGGCGTTTCTTCGCCTCTTCCGTTTGATCGGCTTGGAGCCAGGTGTG